AAAGTTGAGAGAAATATATGGGAAGCCCAATCTCATAGCACTGTTTTAGTAAAAGCCAAAGGAGAATATAGACAGTGCAAAGTTTTGCCCAGAAAGTTATCTCTGATCTTCAAAGAAATTAACTCAATTCACATTGCTACATTGTATCAGAGGATGCAAATATTCCCCCAGAATCAATTCATTAAAAAAACCAAACTGTAATCTCAACTATGGAATGCTAATGAAAATCTTTTGACACTGCAAATGTATCTCAAGTCAGAATGTGATGAAGCACATGGAAGAGATAAATTTAGGATTTATGGATAACGACAATTCAGAAATCTAACAGATACTCTTATATTCTTCCAAACTTGTCAGCTATGAAGAATGTTGGGAGTTTTAGTGCCTGATCTTTCTTAGGGACAGCAATTCCAGGTCTTTGAGCAGCCATAAGCACTTCGTTGTGGGAACCCTGGCCCAGCTGCCAAATTCCACAAACATTATTTGCAGCTGCAGAACCAAAATGCCCAAGTGTGCAGTATGGAGCATATTTAATGATTCCACTGCACAACTGCAGGCTCAAATTGCCAGATTCAAGGGAAGCTAGATTCAAATCTCCTCCCAAGACAAGATACTTGCCTGAAGGTTGGCTGGATCTCAACTCTTCTTCTTTTTCAGCTTCAGAACCTGCAGCCAGTTGGGTGAAGAGGTTTCTGATCTGAAAATCAGAAAATAGTTAAAAAAATAAGAATGGAAAATATAAGGGCCAAGATATGAATGTAATGTTGAATTATATTCTAAAACTTTGGAGCCCATCAAAAAATGAAGAACTTGTTTCCTGGGCAGCAGCTAAAGAGATTCTTTTACTCTGGTGAAAAGATTCTATGCCATCTACACACTACACATCCTCTTCACGACCTGTTTTCCTTGTTACCTTCTGGGAGGAGGCTTCGTGGTATCCAAAGCAGAACATCCAGATTCAGCCAGAGTTTCATTCCATACAGCATTAACCTTGCGAACTCTCAAGCTTCCTCCTTCCATCAGTGGTTCTCAACCTTTTTAATACCGCGACCCCCAACCGGTCATAAGTTGAGGACTACTCAACTGGTCGTAAGTCAAGGACTACTCAACTGGTACAGCACCGTTTGCAGAATGGGACTTTTGGCGGGCTCAGCAGGGCAGAGACAGCCTGGACAATTTCTATTGGCTTTTGAAAGCCAATAGAATTAGACTCTATTCAAGAGAGTCTATTCTATTGGCTTTCAAAAGCGAATAGAATAAAAGGGAGTAGCACAGCTAAGGAAAAGGGGGAAAAAATGGCGGACTGCGTTGTTTGGTGACCCCCGTGAAATGGTCGTTCGACCCCAAATGGGGTCCCGACCTACAGGTTGAGAATCACTGCGTTATATATTCAAGATGGAATCAAAATATTTAATATTTATTTGCTACGTATATGTAGGGATATGGGTCTATACGTATGTTGTTCATAGTATGTTTAGGTGTGTGTCATGTATGTGTTTCACTTTGAGAGCGGGCAACTAAATTTCATTTTTGATGTGTGCCATCGTGCCCACAGTATAAAAATGACAATAAAGGTTATCTTATCTGACTTAAAATCCTGGATAGACGATACCACTTGATTAAAATTAATTTGTTTAGGACTTAAACACTGTCATACAGTATATTTGCTTCCCTCCTCCCTTTCTGTTCATTCGTGTGTGATTCTCAAGAGACTGACTGGACAAGTCCCTACAGTTTTCTTGGCAAGAGTTTTCTGAAATCTGAAAAATCTTGCCAAGAAAGATTGTCGCTGCCTCCTTCTTGGGCTGAGAGGAAGTGACTGGTCCAAGGTCTCCCGGGTGGCTTTGTGCCTAAGGTGGAACTAGAAGTCACCGTCTCCCAGTCTCTAGCCTTAACCACTAGACTAGACCAAACTGGTTCTCACACCTGGTTTAGTTATATGTTAATTTTAATTATAATTTTCAATCTATTTTCCAGTTTTTTTCATTTTGCTCTCTCCTTTATTCCTTTTTTTTTCTCTTGGTTATTATATTTTTCTCTTCCGTTATTGATGGAAAATAAAAACAAACACAAAAGTAATAGTGTGGCTCTGTGGTATACAATACGAAAAATGATTTTATGGTTTGGAAGCAAGCTTGAGCATGTGTAGATTTTCCTTTTCACCCAACATAAATGCACAAATGGACCCTCCAATCCACTCTACCCTACCCCTCTCCTCTCTTCAGAAAATAAATAGTTTTTAAATGTTGACCAAGTAGCCAAGGAGAACCTCTAGAAAGAGCATTCAGTATGTCAATTATGCAGACATTCCAATATAGACTGAACAAAAATATGTTAACAGTTATATTTATTTGTTTTCTACCTTTGTTTACTAAAGCATACTGAACGGACTTATAATAAAGCCCAGTATAATAATACAAACCACAAACAGAAATCAATAAAATAAATCAAAGCAACAACTTAATAAAAAACTAGATTTGTGAATGCTCTCTAAAGCAATCGACCTTCTGAAAGGCAGACAACGAAGAAACCGAACACGCCCTTTGAGGGCTCCTCTGCATATCTGCACATTTGTTTTTTGTGCCTTCAATCAATTTGACTCCTGCCAATTGCCTGGACAAATTCTTGCAGTTTTCTTGCCAAGGGTTTTCGGGAGTGGTTTGCCATTGCCTCCTTGCTAGAGCTGAAGAGAATGGTGATACACTGGCTTTGTGCCCAAGGCTTGACTAGAACTTACATTATCCTGGTTTCTAGACTGGTACCTCAAACACTATTATGGTTCTGCACATTAGTGGCCCACATACTACTTCGCAAGGACAGAAACAAACCAAATCAACCTCAACCAGCTCTCCATAAAGGCAAAAACTGCCTGACTCATCTTTCTCTGCATCAAAAGCATGTTTTCTGATTTCTCCTGAAAGACGTGCAGTTGAGTTATCAGCCTGCTTTGCTTTAGTTCACTGTGGATAAATGCCATCCCTTTAATTTTGCTACAGCAGAAACACCAACCTCCCTGCAGACACTGATTCTGCTCACTATGCCTATTTCATCCTGAGCTGCTTACTTGACAGCTCCCTCCTGAAAGTGCCTTCCTTTGCTGGATTAGTGTTTTTATATTTGCTGTTTGGTTTGGTCAGTGGGCTTGCAAAATGGTGAGTCTCTAATTTATTTATTTATTTGCTTTGTTTCATTGGTTCACCAATGGATCAGTAAAATGACAACAGTTCTGTCATTTTCCCCTCCTAGAACACGTGACAGGAAGTATAAAAACTGGAAAAGGAGAATCATTAGATAAAGTTTAGAAGGGAAAGGTAGATGGAAATAGATCAATGAAAGACAAGCTTATAAAGCAAAATGGCTGCTAGATTCTGGAAAATAAGAAAAATAATTTTAAAGGATTAGATTTGTGCTATGCAACAAGTAATCTGGAATCACCATTGTTACGCACTACAGATTTCACAACAGCGTTGGATTTTCAACAGAAGGACTGTCCAAATGGCAAATCCCTAAATCCTGAACTTTGGTACTATGCTAAAGATAGTGACAGGCCTCTCAAAGGCTTATAACTTACAAAAAAAATATTTTCTAATGGATGAGTGCAGTGTGGAAAACTTATCACAGGAAGGTGCAGCACTGGAAATGATTGGGCGGATCCATGTTTTCTATTCAAAGCTTAATCCCTGAAAACTGAAGCCCAAGAGGTATTTCAGCATGGGTGGTGGGAGAACAGTAAGAGAAAGAGTCGGTGTGAACAGCTTTTTTGATGCCAGTTCTCTGAATAGTCCACAGGACCAACAAAATGACATCAGAAGATTTACTTCAGCCTTCTTCCCTCAAGGCAAGAAAAGCAGAGAAAAAGGGAACATGGTTCTCTTCTCACCCAACTCCCCTCTTGCCTGGTACTTGAGAAGCAGGGTAAGAGAAAGGGAAGGAGGAGGAGAAAAATGGTTCCTTTGCTCCCATCACTGTATGGGGTCACTCTGCGAGGTTGGAGAACTGACAGTGGAAGGACAGGTCTCTTCTGCCAATAAGCTAGATAAAAGGAAATGTTCTTTGCCTCTTTCCCTCTGGGCTTTCTTTTCTGTTGCTGAGGCAACAAAGGAGTTGGTAGTGCTATTTAATCTGGCAGCTTTCTGCCAGCACCCATATTGGATAGTGGCAGTTAGTGAGAAATGCTCCTAGACAGGAAAACACACTCAATCTTCCTTGTGCTCTCTGACAACCAAAGAATACGGAGAGGATTGCCCAATAGGAATATATGTATTTTTTAGAATGACATTCTCCATCTGAACTTTCTCAGAGGTTCTCTTCTGCCACAGAGCTCCTCTCAGTATTCTTAATAAAGGTATTACATATTCAGTTTTACATATATATTAACACCAGCTAGGATAGTGTATGCACAACACTGGAAAAATGAAGAAACCCCTACAGAGGGAAATATAATTAAAAAAATACTAGAGTGTGCAGAAATGGATAGATTAACATTAAAAATTAAAGAAAAAGAAGAAACTGAATACTGTATGACATGGGAGTTGTTTTACCAATGGTTAGCTGACAGAAACAGAGATTAGAAAGTTGGAAATGTGAGAAAATGTGGATTATATGAGGAAGATCTATAGCGGATTAATAAATGTTTTTTTTAAAATATATATATATATTTTATTAGATTTTATATGGGTAGGAAAAAGGTGGGGTCGGTGCAGGTACAGGAAAATCGGGATAAAGGGGACAGCGTATGGATAACTACAGTAAATACGTAATTCAGCGAACAAGCAGTTGTCCGGGTCTTCATATTGAGTATTATTGTTTATATAATACTAGACATTTATAAGAATAAATCAGTATAGTTACAACTGACATTTGGTAAAACACTAATATTCCTTTAAATAATTAACATAGTTGATAGCATAACAACTATTTCCAATCATCAACCTTAATACTTAATATAATAAAGCTCTAAAATCTCGTCTTATTCTAAGGTGTTTCAACCCACTGATAAAATTTTCCCCAGGTTTTATAAAAGATTGAATCTTCTTTCTCCTTCATTTCCAACGTTAATCTGTCCATTTCTGCACAATCTAGGATTTTCAAAATTATAATCTGGTCTGATGGTAGGTTTTCATTTTCCAAAATTGTGCAAATAGCGGATTAGTAAATGTTTTGATTGTTATACAATTAATGTCAATGCAGAAAATACTATTTTTAACAATATGATTGCTATTTCCTAGTATATGATTGTATTTTGACAAGATTACGATGAATGTGATGATTATCTCTGGTCCAATAGTCTACGTTTATATTCTTTCTTTTTGCTCTGCACAATCTTTAAATCATTCCTATGGCATTGCAGGATTTAATCTTTCATCATTCTCTAGAATTTAAAAGAAGTCTTCCAAGTTTTCACCAGCCTACTTTGTAAATCCCATAGAGAGGCAAAGGATTTCTTATTGCAAATGTTCCCGAAAAGATCCTTTTCTTCCCATAAAGAGGCATTGTCCAGAATTTCTTATTGTGGCTGTTCCATATCCAGATTCTTTTCTTGATTTCTCTTTTGTTTTCCCATTTTGCTCATGTGAATTTTGTGGTCTTCCATACCCTCAAACTCTATAATGTCTATGTCAGGTAAAAGTTTATTTTTTTTTCTCCTTGTCTTCTAAAAGATGTTAATTAATATTTCAGCCCATGTAAAAAAATATTATGATAAGAAAATGTTATAGCCAGTTTAGTCATTTTACCTCTTTTCTGCCTGGTCTTTTAGTTCCTTCTGGTATCCATCTGCAACTTTCAGCAAGCCTCAGTTCTTAACAGGGATTTCGTTCCATTTCAGTTGTTCCCCATGAGCATATTATTTGATTATATACTTGTTTTTCAAATCTTACAACAAAAATAAGGAATATTCCAAATCTCTCTGTCTCCTTCAACTCCTGGCACTTAAACCTATAGAAGACTGCTGTTTTACAGTCTTCTCAGGGAAACTGCCATTCAAAGCACTTGTGGGTGATCTCCCAACGTCTTCGGACAAATTCAAAGGTCTGGTCCATTCGCCAGTCTTTCATTCTGCACAGTGGCCATCTGTCAGCCAGGATTCACACTAGAAGCCTTCTCAATCTAAGTTTCTAAAGACCACTTTTTTTCCAGGTTGCTCAGTGCATTTCATTGTGACATTCCATATAGAACCAGAGCAGGATAAACTAGAACCAGAGTATAGATAAGTTAAATCATCATTATCCAAAGCTAATTTTTCTTCCAGAAGGCTTGGGCCCTCAAACTCAGGACAAAAATTAACAATATTCCTAGAAATATGACATTATTGACACATTGCACCACTATGAATATGCTTCTGAGGTGGTGCTGGCCTTAAACTAACAACAAAACATTGCAAAGCTTAAGCAAAGAATTCCAGAATGAACGTATTCAAATTTTTGCAGGGACTGAGCTAAGAAACTATAAGAAAAAGTTCCTGAAAACCCACATGGCTCACAAATACCACAGAGATTCCAAGTTAATATGATACCCTTATCATCAGTAGTTCTCAAAAATAGGTTCAAAAAGATCCGCTTTGCAGAAGGAATTTGCCGTTGGAGTAGGGCTGGCACTGACTCATAAGCTCAAGTCTTACCCTAGGGTGAAATCTAAAGATTTTCATGCCTGGTAGAGTCCTATGTTAACCACCTGCTATCACACAAAGCGGCTGAAGGCAGGACAAGAAGCAATGGATGGAAACTAATCAAGGAGAGAAGCAACCTAGAACTAAGGAGAAACTTCCTGACAGTTAGAACAATTAACCAGTGGAACCAGTGCCTCCAGAAGTGGTGAATGCGCCAACACTGGAAGTCTTTAAGAAGAAACTGGACAGCCATTTGTCCGAAATGGTATAGGGTTTTCCCGCCTGAGCAGGGGATTGGACTAGATGACCTCCAAAGTCCCTTCCAAGATGATGATAATGATGATGATGATGATGATGATGGATCCTAGAATACTGAAGCCAAATGTGCTTCTATAGCCTCCAGGATTCCTTTACCTGCAATTTTCCAGCCCCTCTTCCTGTACAACCATACCTACCCTGAGGATTTCTCTGGCTTGGGTGGCAGCACCAGAGGCTTCCCACTAGCGCTGCCCATCTTGCATGATTTAGAACGCTGTACAGCAGCCTCCTTTGCTTCTCCTTGGGGTTCCCCTTCCTCAGCTGAGCGGTTTCTCCCTCGCAATTTAGCCTAGGGATCAAGAGCAAAAGAATTACAAGCCGGCCCTAGCAAAGCTCCAAGTCTTTGCTAATAAGCTATCCCATACTTCCTCTTCATTATCCTCCTCTTACTTTCATTACACCTTAACAGGCTTAGGAGATCAGAGGCTTGGGTCCCTGTTACACCTTAATCTCCCAATCCCACAAACAAACTTGATTTCACCTTGGGATGATCTTAACAATCCAGTTTCCATAAACCAATCTGACAATATATTCTAATTTCTTCTGTTTTATCCCCAACTTCCTTTACATCTTACCTTCAAAGCTGAAGGACTGAGGCCTGGGAAGAGGGCTACCTTTACCCCCTTGGACAATGGAGAGCTTCGTGACTTCTTGCTCTTTGTCTCCTCGTGGACCTCTTCATCAGAGACTGCAGAAACTAATTGGGGCTCTGGGGAGGGGCGAGAAGAGAAAAATCCAGAAAAATTAATGCACAACAAACCATAAAACCAAAATAATGGCAGACAACTTGGAAAAAATTTTGGAGCCTACAATAAAGGCTCAAAGGCAGCCATCTGACAAGTTTTATCCCTCACCTCCCATTCTCCTCTATTTTTAGATTGCATTTATTTATTTATTTATTTATTTATTTATTTATTTATTGACTACTTCTAGATCATTAGGCAAGAGACCTGCCTTCATGGACTCCTTCAAATATCAAGTACAGCGACGGCACTGGAAAATAACAGATTTCAGAACTTCAGTAAATCATTATTAATGCATTATGATTGGTAAGTCCTGACTTAGGGCAAAGTATAGGTCAGTGATAGCAAACCTTTTAGAGACTGAATGCCCAAACTGCAACCCAAAACCCACTTATGTATCACCGGGTGCCGGATGGGTGTGGCCCACTCGGTGGGCGGAGCTACAGTGGGCTTGGCAGACTGGATGGGCGTGGCCACTGGATGGGTGTGGCTGCAGTAGTCATGGCAGATTGGGTGGGCATGGCCGGGATGGGCCTAGCCACCTCGATGTTGTTTATGGGGAGGGACACCTGTGGGAGCTGGGCAGGGTTGACGGAGATCCAGGGGATCTCTGGCAGGTGGGATGGTGGGCTCCCCAATGGCGGCTCCAGGCTGGCTAACCTTAGGCCAGTGATGGCGAACTTTTAGAGATGTGTGCTGGGGCGATGGCGCATGCCCACAGAGAGGGCTACGCGTGCCGCCTCTGGCACGCGTGCCACAGGTTCACCACCACTGGTATAGGTGGTGCCTTCTTTTGGAAACAGGTAAATCCATAACTAACAGGTAACTGTAATTGTAAGTGGGAATGATCTTGGGAGTCAAGAGGAAGAGCTGCATGCTAGGCAAAGGTCATTTAACAAGGTAGTCAAGCCCACAGAAGGAATGCAGGTGTGGCAAACATCTCAAAAGGCACCTTTCTAGTTTCTTGAACTGTAAAAGCGGGGGGGGGGGGAGTGAAAGAGATGTACTTTCAGATTTGCAAGATTATGTTAAAGAATCCTTAAAATAAAGAAAGGGCTAGTACTTCTTGATGTGCTCCTTTTCTGGACTCTCTCACGAGGCTGACATTAACATACACAATAGCTTCAAGGAACATGCTGCACACAAATGACAGAACCAAGCCAAGCGTATAGACATAACACTGATACGGAAAATCAGTAATTCATCCCCAGATCAGCCTGGTGGCATTTTACCTGTAGAATCTCTGAACATCCAGCTGTTCCTATCATTCTCTAACACAGTACCTCCTGCTCGGGTGATTGGGGCTCGATGACCCCGCTTGCGCCCCAAATTTGCACGGTCCCGATGTGCACTATTATCAAGAACATCCGTATCCTGCAAGCATAAAGAAGTCAAAACAGGACATATTTGTAAGATGGTGTTATTTAGGATTTAATTACTAAATTACTAGAGCCTTCTTATCTTTCAAGTAGCCACTCCTGGTAGTACTTGCCTCCAAGAAGGTGAAATTTTCTCTTGTTAATGCTTCAGCTCCCTCCAAATCGTCCTGGGAAATGGGTTGTGTGGCTTCACTTTCACTTTGCTCTTCAGGATGCTGCCTCCAATTTCCACTGTTCGGCTGGCTGATGCCACCATCCGTGTCAGATAAGACCTCTCCTACATCCTCCAGTGGGAATGGAGATGGCCTAATCTTGTCAGCTGCCGGCACCAGCTCACTGGGCAAGTTATTCAGTTTCCTTTTTTCTTCCGAATGGCAGCTATGGAAAGAGGCAGGCCTCTTCTGCTGGGCCTCTGGTCTGTTGGCACTTCTGGAAACCATTCCTTCCAACAGGCAGCTGGGACTGGACAGGCGCTGACTGTGGCATTTTCTGCTTGAGTTTGAGATAAAGAGACAAAATAGAATTCTTAACAAGGTTTCATTTCTTTTAGTTTGCTGTACTTGCTTCTCTGCCATCAACGAGCCCCAAATTAAACTACTCCCTTTTAAAAAAAAAAATGTTTTGTACGACTAAGCTGCACAGTCAAAGCGAGAGGGAGGACTTTCCAGATATAATAAAGAGATATACTGAAGTGGACAAGAGAGGATTCAAACATACGCTTATCAATAACAAAAGCAGTATAAGCATATTGAATATGAATCATTACAAAAATCACAAATCTTTTATAAGGCTGTACCACTTCAAACATGCAGATAAGATTTAAAAAATCCAAGACAACTAAATATTACACAGAAAGCAGAAGAAAATAAAATTTTATACTTCATTTTACCCTCAAGCGAAATATAATAGTGACTTTAGAAGTGTGACTTCCACAGTGAACTATAATTACAATATCAACCCCCTTTGTATGTAGTTTGTAACTCACAAGCTTGCAATATGCTGGCTTAAAGTCTTCTTGACTTTTTTTTTTCCAGAACAGTCAAACAATAGATACAGATACTCTGTACCAAGCACAGAATTAAGTCCCCACACTATTCAATGGGGCTGCAATCCTAAAGTCTTCAACTTTACTGGACTTCCAAATGGCCAATTATAAGAACCACTGGTCTAATGGTGATAGCATACAATATTCAGGCCCATTCTAGGCGAGGAGAAAGTGAAAATGACAATGGTTAGGGCAGCGGTAGGCAACCTTGGCTCTTTTATGACTCGTGGACTTCAACTCCCAGAATTCCTGAGCCAGCATGGCTGGCTCAGGAAATAAGGTTGCCTACCCCTGGGTTAGGAATGTTATATTTAAACAAAAGGCAGAATTCAATAAGCCTTAATTAAGGAGTTAGAATAAAGTTTGCAGTGCAGATATATTCCTACACTTTAAGTTGTCTATGAAGTTTAGAATTTTTTTTAGTCAGATGTTGTAATAATGTGGAAAATGGAAGTCAGACTGAACAAATCTTAAAGATGAAAAGGAAGAAAAATGAAAGACAAGGATTTTTTTTCCAGAGAATTTTTTTTTATATTGAATAAATTACTATCACCTTTAACCATGAAAAGTTTTTGAAGACTCTGAGGGTTTTAAAGGTCCAAACACCAAAAAAAGAGATTTTCAACATGTACAGCAATTTATACAACTGTAGTTAGCACTGTCCACCTAGTAACTTGAATGCATGAACATGCGCAAGTAAATAAACAGGTACCATGAACATGTGCAAGTAGATAAACAGGTGTTCTGTGCGCCTTTAGCATATAGCAGGGGTAGGCATCCTTGGCTCTTTTATGACTTGTGGACTTCAACTCCCAGAATTCCTGAGCCAGCATGGCTTAGCTTGGAAACCTCTCCCTTTTCCCTCAGCATGGCTGGCTCAGGAATTCTGGGAGTTGCAGTCCACGAGTCATAAAAGAGCCAAGGTTGCCTACCCCTGGCATATAGCCATGCTGGCCACATGACCGTGGAAATAGTATTCAGACAATGCTGGCTCCCTCAGCCAAGAAACAGAGATAAGCACCATGCTCTAGAGTCAGACTCAATTGACAGGGAAACCTTTACCTTTTACCTTGAGGTTAGCACTACAATTCTGTATCAGAAGTTGTATTCTCTACTTATGGAAGATTCTTTGTGTCCTATGCTTGTAAGACATTTTATGGAGTCTTACAATATAAAACTCTTAAACTCTTAAATAACTCTGAGCAGCTCACACTTCTTGTGAGCTGCTCAGAGTTATTTAAGATGGGCAGCCATCTTTTAAAAAAATAAAATAAAAATGTATCCATTGTCTGATGGCTAATTGATTCTATTCTCTATATAGTGTTTGCCATAATACTCCTCTAACAGCAGGTCTAATAACAAACTGAAAGCCCATCTGATTCCAGGTATGCCACATTAAATTTGGCATAATATGTAAAGTAGTTCAGGATTCTCTTGCTGAAGGTTATTATGCTCTTAATCTCATTATACAAAATTGGGCATCACTCTCCTAAAAAGTCTCAAGGATAGGGAAAACAGTTTTTTGGCAGATTAGAATTAAGTCTTTCTCTTCTCCCTTACTCGCTTCCCTCAATCTTTTTATTCTGAAAATAATTTCCTCTTGAGCAGTTTTCCTTTAACTGTTAAGATTGTATTATGTATATGCAACAGTAAACGCAACCTGTTAATAAGACAGGAAAAACTGGTTATGATTTCTTGGAAATACAATCTGGAGGGTGATTGAGAGGGGAGGACTGACATAATTAATAGAGTGAACCTTGGCATGTTTAAATTAAGCTGCCAAAATATACCCTTCAATATAGGGTTATCGCACAATTTGAAAATATCTTACCAATCCAGACTTGAGTTGGAAAGAGCAGCCGGATGGCCTTAATATACAGAAGGCTTCTTCTTCCCTACCTATTCAAACCAACTCAGCCAGTACTTGTCCTGAATAAATCTTTAAGCATCATAAGTATCATGAACTACATGGTGGCAATTTTCAACTATTTAAAATTGATTAACTTTTCCTCTCCAATATCTAGAAATACATGGAGAACATGATTTGATGACATCGAGAAATGTGCTGCATTTTTACTGCTATGTAGATTTCTTTATAAAATTATGCAGAAGCACTTTCTTATATGTTCTTCCTTTCATGATGTCAAGCAGTGAGGGCATTATGGAAGAATAAGCCAAGAATCTATATGCCTTATTCCATGCAATGAGATGAATTCCTCTAACAGTAGGATACAGAGAAAAATTGATGATAAGTCACAGAAAATGGGATATAAACACGAATGTTGCATACAGTATGCAAGCAGAAAATGGGCCCAATGTCAGTGCAAGACTGAGAAAAAGAGAATGACAGAGATAAAAATAGCGGGCTATAATTCTGCATTCCTGTCAAGCTAACTTGTTTTCAGAAATGTTATTTCTTCAGTAAAAGCAACAGTCATGGTCCCAGAATTGAGAATCTCCATAGGGTAGTTCTGTTCCACTACTTTGGCAAAAGACAAAACTGTTCCGTTATTTCTTACCACCCAGATTATTTCTTCCTTTGGATGTGTTACCGCAGAACAATCTACTAAATATAAAATGAACAACTCCTCAGGATAGGTGAGAAATTCCTACTGCAACATTACTCCACAGCTGTTCTAAATCTTCAGCCTCTATCGAGGTCGAAAGGGTTCAATAGGAAAGATATATTAAGGTCATATCAGGATACGGCTCAATGAACATTTATGTTAGCTATGAGTCCTTGCAAAGCACTGCTTGTTGTCATCAGTCTCGCAACATTACATTATACATTTTTTTACTGGAAGCTGTGTGACATTTCATGCCAAGTAGCCTAAGTAGCAGTAGATCAAAACTGGAATGTGAGGAAGGGTGCTAATGAAACTAATCACTGAGAAGCTGTCATGTAAGAAGATCTATGATCAGGAAAATAGGCAAGTCAATAATAGTCAAAATATATGTATTAAAAAGAAATAATGTCATGATCTGCTTAAGAGAATGGATTCTGAGATTCCTAGGTGTTACTAATACCTTATACATTTTGAGAAGAATTTATGCATTTGCTAGTAGAATGCAGAAGAAATTTGACACTATTAGCCAGAAATTACTGATTAATATTGCTTTTGAACTATGATCCATCAACTTTAAGAATCAAAATTCAAGCATTGTGGAAAATGGAAAAATATCAGCAAGATCAAGGTGAGATGTGGGTCTTATTGTAGGTAAAATATGCTGAGAAGAGATAAGAATGAACAAGAATACATTGTAGGAAAAAATGGATATTATCTTGCATTCACCTCAGAGAATACAAGAATGAGACAGGAGAGATCACCTTCAGAGAGAAAGAGTTGGCTGATATTGTGCAAAAAAGACTAGACCTTGCAGATACAGACAGCTAAACTCAACACTGAATGGAATTTAAGTCCCTTTGCCATCCCTTTTGCTGAATATGGCAGCTACCCAAGACCAAATAGTACAATGCATGAACTACTGATCATATAGAACAGCTCTTGCAGAAAACCCAAGACTAACTTTACATTTACATTTACGTTTGGAGCAACTCAAACTGACATCTGTGTATTCATTTTGCAGCAAAGTTGGTATCCTGCTACATTTTCTCAAGTAGAAAATCAGAGAAATATTAACCATAACTACTAAATCTACAATTGGGGCTTTTGGCCAGATTACATAGAATGCCAGAAAACACAGCTTCAAGACTCATTAGATACCATTATTTCTCTATGCTTGCCTCTCTCCACATTAACAAAGAGGATATAGATTAGCTTTCCCCTTGTGGTTATCCAATCACTCTTAAATCTCCTTGTTTTATTATTTAATAGACAATTTATGGATATATATATATATATATATATATATGATTTTAAACATCAGTTCCCAATGACCCTAGCTAGCAGTTGTAGTTTGACAATAAGTGAAAAATACAAGTTATTTCCCACTTGGCTTAAAACAGCATTCCTCAGCCTACACATTAATCAAAGATGTGGCCTTCAATTTCTAGAGTTTCAATTCATCACAGCCTTACTGAGAATTCTGGAAATTGAAATTACACATCTTTTGTCCAGTTGGGGTAGGCTGTTTTAGACAAGACTAGAACTAAAATAGCAACCATCTTAAGTGTGAACTGAACTGTGTTTCCACAGAACTGCAATCTGGGCATTGCAGATTTGGATTCTTCCAACGCTGTCTGACTTTCAGACCAAGTTGCAACATACTTCATCAAGTCTACATTACAAGGAACTATATAGCACTGCATACACTAATAACTGGTAATTTGCAGGGATGAAAGGAAGCACAGCCAAATACAAGATATGAGCAATTACTCATCATTTACCATAACTGATTAACAAATAAATGCAAGAGCAAAATTAATTTCTACTTTAATTCCTTGTGTTAGTCCATCCTTTCCTTCTTTGCATCTCAGCTATCAAATAACTGTAACAGTCTTTACCTCTCTCCAGATACTGGTGTTGCTCCTTGATGCTGCATCACATCATCTTCTAAGCCAGTAATCTCCAAGTGATGGCTCTCATCCCTATATACCACTTCAGTCCCATCCAAAGCCTTAGGCCTCAAATCAGATACATCTGCCTTTTTAGTGTCAGATACATCCATATCGTTAATTAAATCTGCTTGTCCAACATCAGGTTCTCTGCCTCCTGCATTCACCGATCTTGTATTTGATGTGGCAGATGAAGTTTCCATGCCAAAAGGAAGGTCCCAGTCAAGCTGCTTCTCCACAGGTTTTTTATAAGCTTCTAAGCTCTCAACTTTTAAATCACTGGAGATAGCCAAATCCCCAATGTCAAGATGTTGAATGCATTCAGATTCACCTTCTCCAATTCCTCGGGGTTCATCCATGGACAAATTCATTAAATTCCCAGCCTGATGTATTAGGTTGTCAACTGATTCCTCTAAATTGACTGTGACTTTTTGATCAGACAAACCCAGTGAGCCAAATCCAGGTATTAGATCCTGTCTGGTAGTATCGTTCTGTTCAGTTTCTGAGAAATTAGAGTCTTTGATCCAATCTCCTCTACCAGGAGCAAAACAATCTTCTTGTGGTTCAAATTTATTCAGGCTATATTCATCAGACCAGATTGGTCTTTGAGCATAGAATTGTTGATTGTCCACCTCCATTTGAGAGTTACTGCCTTTGATGCCATTGTCTTTTTCAATACTACAACCTATTTCACCATCATATTCTTTGACTTCGTCAGGTTTATCAGCACTGAACTCATCATCTTGGTTTTGAGCAATTCCTGTTTCACACCTACTAGGCCAGTCAGACTGTTTGACATTCAATTTAGACTCTGGATAGCTGCCATCATCAAAGCCATATGTATCTGGTCTTGAGTCCTGCTGAAAACTAAGCTGAGATTCTGGATTGTTCTGAGGTTCACTAGACTGTTCCACTTGATGAGCACTGAACTCTCTTTGTAGTTGACTGGTACCACTGCCAGAATCAGATTCACTAGGCCAGACTAAATGGCTGGCACTGAACACAGAAACTGGGGTGCTGTCATCTGAATGTTTGACACTGAGCTCTGTTTCCAGCTGGCTCTCAATAGTGCATTCGCTAGGCAGCTTTGCTGATTCGGGGCTGACATCTGATTCTGGACAACTGATATTTTCCATATATTTGGGCCAGGCAGTTGTTTCAGCATCATCATCATGATATTGGCTGTTCCAATCTGTCTTCTCAACTGCAACAAACTCACTGCTCTGTTGATCACTGCCAGCACTGCAGAGTTTTGGCCAGCCCGGCTTCCTCACGTAGGGTTCTGCGTCCTGACCCTCAGCAGCACTGATGCTGTATGTGCTGCTCCAATCTGATTCCTCGGTTGGATGATCAGCACAATGGCTACCATAAGAAGCAAGCCACTCTTCCTGCCCTGGACTGGCTGATCCTCCTGCCCATTCTTGCTGGCTGGTACCAAATTCCATATCCTGACCTTTGGCATTACCAACAGTGTATGAGTTTGGCCAGTCCTGTAAGCCAGTGCCAAACTCTCGATCCTGTTCTGTTTCTCCGAGCCATTTCACTTTGGTTACATCGGCAGTCCAGCCCAAGCCAAAGGTATTAGAATGATCAGCACCTACAATGCCAAACTCGCTATGAAGGTCCTTCCGTGACCATCCCAGAAGATCCTAAAAAATAAAAAAGAGAAAAAGAAAAAAAAAACCAAGGCAAATGGGAAAATTGAATGAGATTGTTATGGACAAAGGGTTGGGATAATAAATTAGAGGGATGTGAATCACAAGAAGTACACATTAAACAAAGTGAAGAAAAATAACCTAGGAACCATTCATATTTTACTTTAAAAAAAAATCAAAATATTTTAGCAAAAGTCCATATTTTAAACACAAAAGATCCTAGTTTCAGCCTTGTATGCAAGTAGTCCTCGACTTACGACCACAACTGAGCCCAAAATTTCTATTGCTAAGCAAGCGAGTTTTGCCCCATTTTGTGATCTTTCTTGTCACAGCTGTTAAGTGAATCACTGCAACCGTTAATAACATGGTTGTTAAGTGAATCTGGCTTCCCCATTGACTTTGCTTGTCAGAAGGTGATCAGAAGGTCGCAAAAGGGGAATCACGTGACCCCGGAACCCGTGCAACAGTCATAAATAGGAACCAGTTGCCAAACACCTGAATTTTGATCATGTGACCATGGGGATGCTGCAACAGTCGTGTGAAAACCGATCAAGTCATTTTTTTCTGTGCTGTTGTAACGGTGAATGGCCACTAAACGAGCAGTTTTAAGTTGAGAACTACTTGGAGCTAGAAAAGTCCTTTGGCAACCATTTTTAAATCATTCAGATATTAAAGAGGTAAAAATGTGTGGTTCTCCAAATATTGCTGAACTATAACACCCAGCAATTTCATAATGGGCAATGTTACTGGGGCTGCTCAAGAGTTATAGTTCAACATAATGACAATTACAAATTCTCTACTTTGTGTATGGACCACTGACTTTCAACTAGGGAATCAGGATCAACAGCTAGGACAGTCTAACATATAAATGTTCGGTAAAACCTTAAACGTTTGATCCAGAAGTAAAGATTAGAAATAAAAATTAGCCCCAGTTGTGAAAAATCCAAAAGTACTGATGAGACAATACTGAACTAGATGGACAAAGGGGCTCTGACTTTTCACAGTAGCTTTCTACATTCCCAAGCTATGCATGAACTGTTTGTTAATGGGAGCCATTTCCCACAATAAGATATTATCTGTACATGTGATTCATGTATTACAATCCTATTTACCATTAGACATGCATCGATAGGTTTGAAAGCTATATCCAATCATGCATAGATGCAATATATTACAAATATCAAAGATACTACTAAGGCTCATGTTCTGAAACAGAAAAGCACTCTGAAGTATAAAAAAAATTGTAAAGATGAAATATGCCAATAAAAATAAACAATCTCCTTTAAGAAATAATTCAGATATTATGGCAAGAAAGGTGAGGAAAGTATAGAGGAGTTTATATAGCCCAATCAAAATTTCCAATTGGAAGGTTAATTTCCACTGGAAATTACTGAAGTCCTAAATCTATCAGCCCACTTGATTTTTCATTCTTTCAGAATGGCATCCATGGGACCTTAATGAAATCAAATTGCGCTCAGTAATTGATGTACTGTATATAACTTAAATCTTGTTAACTAAGAATTACATTCACTTTTGGACAAGACTGTAATGGATCCAAACAGTAACTTCTTAATAACCAAGAGGTCCAACAACCAAGAGTATCTTTGATGCACAAAGAGAACTGGGTCTGGGAAGAGGAAAGTTAACTTCACCCAGATGACTGGAGGATTATCTCATATGGCAGCACCTTTTGGCTCAGTCTCTGCTCTTGTACATTCTGCAGCCACCCAACCAGTTTAACTACTTTGTAGCTTACTTTAAAAAAGGCAGCCTGCTGTTCTTAAAGACAAGCCCTGGCTCAGTCATCTAACTGGGCAGGAATGTTTACTCATCTAAACATGCTCGTGTCCATTTAACGCCTTATATGCCACGTTCTTAGGTGCACAGGAAATTTGATGCCAGTAAGATTTTCTTGTCACAATTCTTTTTGAATAGAATACTGCCTTCCATAAAATTAATACTGAGTACAATGTTTTTACCTGTGGTCCTGTGGGGTCTTCCACCTGGGGTGTATTTCTCTTTGTATCATCAGCGCTAGGTGGAGGAGATGCCAGAAGCTCATCTAGCCAATGTGAATTAGGATTAGGTTCAACTCCACCCAGTAGGTCAGAGTTACCCATCTTGGCTTCCTGTGCCATACCCAGGGCATCACATTCTTCCTGACAGGTATCAGCAGTCTGCACCTGGACACCTTCTGAGAACAAGATGCAAGGCTCTGCAGGAGGAGCACTTTGCTCTACACTTGGTAATGGCTCCATTGCTCGTAGAGCCTCTTCCTCGTGGTTTGGGGGAAACTGGAGGAAGTCATCATGATCCTCTTGCAAAGTAACCTCTTCAGCCACCACTGGGTCCTTTAGATTAGGGCTACCAATCTTTCTCTGAACAGAGGGACCACCAGGTGCTGACAACTCAAGAGTAGATTCGGTTTCTAGCTGCCCCTCAATCTTCTTCCAGTTCCTTTCAGATTCCTTATTGCCACTGGGCTCACTAGCCTCAGTCACCTCTTCCTTCCCAATTTGTCCCTCTGAACCTGCCTCTTGATATGATCCTTGAAGGGGAGGGATCTCTCCGCCCAATTCTGCTTCCAAGAGGTTGTCATCATCGTGTTCCTGAATGGGAGAGTTGAGAGGAGATAGTAATCTCTTCCCACCCAACTCCAGTCCCTGATTAGGGAATGACCATTCAAATGACTGTGACAGACTCCAACTAGACTCTCCTCCTAAAGTCTGCACTACTGATGGGTCCTTCTCTCTTGGCAGTGCAGCTAAGGAGCCGCCTAGTTCTTCCCTAGTCATTTTTTTACCCTGTGGTTGCACCACCCCCTCTGAAGCACGCCGCTGAGTTAGCAGGGGAGCCTTGTCCTCAAGAGGAAGAATGTGTGCTTGGTTTTTGAGATAATCTTTTTCCCTGTTGAGTAGGGTGTCTGGTATGCATGAAGGGGACCCTGGAGGCTGATCAGAACAAACATGGCATTTTGAAAGAATGCTAGGGGAGCCAGGGGATTCCGAGACTCCCGTAAGACATTGGCGAGACTGCAGATTATATTCGATGGGCGAATGGATCAAACTGGCAGTATGCTCAGGGACAAGAGGGACCTCAGGGTGTCTTGCAGGAACCTCTGCCAAGTCTGAAAGCAAGGACTGTCCTGGAGCAGTCTTAACAGGGGATCCTGGAGGCCAGGTATCTGCAATGGTTACAGGGGAATCTGCAAACTGAACGTGACTGACAGAGTCTACCAGAGGACTTCTGGAGGATTTATCAGACCCATCAGGGGAGCCTGGTGGAAGCAAAGCTTCACTACATGGGACATCTGTTGGAAGGTATGGAGCACCAGGGGGTTGGGTTGTTTCAGAAGGGGCATCAGGAGATCCGGGTGTGACTCTGGAAGAGAACTTGGTCTGGGGGGAAAGAGACACACAGGAAGAACAAATTAAATTACTTTCTTTTCCTGAAAACGTCCAAAACCAGCTAGCAAAATCTTAGAACTTGATCATCTTGCATCCTACAACCCAAGGATTATTATTTAGAATATACTATAAGATTATCTGGCCCAATTGTGTCCCTTTTCCTTGAATCAGTCCACAGGCAGCATCTTTCTGCTTTTACATATCAAAAAAAAAAAAAAAAAATGATCCTACACCTTACTTTAACATGTATTACTAAGTAAAACAAATAGACCCAGACAACACGTTGTTTACCAAGCACCTATGAATTGTGAATATAGAAAACTAATAAAATATTATAAAAAAAGAACAACGATCCTACACCTTGAAAGCCCCTCCCCAAAGTATCACCCCTTTATTGTTAAAGCCAGAAGATAAATGAAATGCAAAGAGTGGAACAGGAAGGGGAAAAGAGAAGCTGAAGAAATCAATCAACGCTGTCCAGTGACAACAAAAGTGCATGCCCCACCCACCCCAGCTTTGCCTTCTCTTTGATTAGGTTTGCAAAGAGATAGAGCAGCAAAACAAAGCAGCGTTATTAAACACACCCAATGAGCTGATGGCTCTTTTTCCTTAAGTTAAGGCAAATGGAGTTAATGATTACCATCGCCCATTCAGGGCATTCAGCAAGAGGCTGCTCCGCTTTCCCTAACTAACAGATTTGGCTGCAGGGCGAGCAGTGGGAATTGTTTCATACATACCTGGCAGGTCGTTGAACTATATACTCTGAGTCACAACTGCTCCCTTCCCCCTGGCCATGGCCCCGTAACTTTGTATTAGCTTTGGTTCTCTCTGTGTAGTTAGCTTGGGCTTTTTTCTTTTTTTTAAAGATCTGAAGAAACACTGCTTTATTCTTCCTGGCTTAGATGTGAAGTGGTTACTTTAAAAAAAAAAAAGTACTGAAATAACTACCTAGACTCTCATGATCTACTAACTAAGGTTTTTTACACTCTGGGTAATGCCATTCAGGATGGAAAAATATAAATTGTATGTGTTAACATCTAACACAGTTAGCCAAGTTGAATATTTCACTTTGAAACATCAAGCACCTGGACCTATCAGCATATAGAAGTGTTTGTTTCTTCGTTTACAATGCCATAACCTATGCCCTAAAGAGCAACAAGTTTGGGCAAAGATAACCAATACTGATGCATGAAAGTTCCTGCTAGGGTTACTTCTTCTTGAAGAGAAGCATTAGTAGAGAAAGGAGACACGCACCCTACAGGGAGGGGGCCTGGAAGGAGAGAGGTGGCAGATACCCCTGAGACAGAAGAGAGCCTGGAAGGAGACAGACCAATGGAGGAATTGCCGAGCTGCAGATAACTCACACCAGGAGAAGATGGCGGACTGCTGGATTCAAGTTGGTCTCCTTTGCAGCTCCTGCTAGGCTGGCTGGAGCTGCTAACAGAAAGATGTATTGTTACTACAGAACAGAACCACCTTCTATTATTTCTATGATTATGCAGGCAGGATGAATACCAAGTAAATCAACAACCACAAAAAGAGAAATAAGGATCCTGAATCTAAAACACATATAGCCAACCTGAAGCCCTCAAAGGTCTTTCAGAGGACCACTGCTTACCTTAAACTCTTTGGAATGTGAGTTTCTCCACATACATACTACCACTGACATTGTACTAAGGAAGTGGGTGTGTGAAGATGACACTCCTAAGTTGTTGCACAAGCTTCCAAAAATTGAGAAGAATCATCCTTCTTCCTCATCATCTTCAAGGATAAATAGTGGAGTGACTTCAAAGTTCCTCCAATTTAAACTATCCTGAATATCACTTTTTTTTTTCAATTCTAGCAGCAGTGGCAAACAGCCATTTTATTTTACATCTTCTTGCTGCAGGCACAAAGGGGTGCCCAAAGGCTAGCTCTCAAAAGCCCATAAAAATGGACCATCCCTATTTTAAGGGCATTGTGCCTATCACATGTATAATCTACTTCACAATGGAGAATCTGTTCATGCCCAATCTAAATAAATGGATTATATTGTTAAATGCAAACATTAAGGGCATCATGCCGAACACATGTGCAATCTACATAAGAATGAGGAAGCTCTTCATGCCTGATCTATATGAACTGATTATAGTGTTAAAAGCAAAAGTTATGGAAATTTTAAATCTTGCTGAATATTCCAAGCATTTTCTATTTCATCAGATGTTATCTCTTCTTCCTTATCAATGTATCACTTAAATCCGACAGCTGCTATCTCTTGCAACCTTATATTCTTTGCATCTGTGATCTGGCAAAGATGGAACTATGAGAAATATGCTCAATTCTAGACATGATTATTCAAAGAAAAGTCACATCAAGTCGAATGAGACTGATCCAAGTATACATATATGAGAGGGCTGGAATCTTAAAAATGTAGCAACCTAATCTTCTAGTCCTAGATTGAAAACAGCATTTGCCCCCGCTAATGCCAAATGTAAAAGAACAAAGAAAGGAACTGTCAGATACATTTGGTGCATTAATTTCATTTTTCTTGGAATGCTAACAATAAACAGAATACCTACTAATCTACAATCAATATCTATGCTAAGAATATAGTCGATGAGTCACACAGCAAAGCTGAACTTTCAGAATGGTCCACTGTGATTATATGTACCTCACCTGTCTGCAGGAAGGAAAATCTCATTTCTTTTGACCTCTGTCTCTGGCTGTTGAGATTCAGACACCTTTGAGTTCCTGTCTTCTTCCTTTAATTCCTTGTTCCTTGACAAACTCCTCTCCTTAATTTCACAAGAGACTTGGTAAGCAGACCCTTCTGGATTCGTTCCTACTCCTTCTTCTCCACTGAAACTTTTCCGGAAAGCAACATAACCCTTAGGCCCTAGGTGAACAGTTGACCCACCATCTTGGCTGAAGAAAGAGCGTACTAGCCGAGGCCGGTCAAAGCTGGGTGAACTCTCACTGGGTTTTTCTATTTTGGCCAAGATTTCCTCCACTGTGGTCCCAGGAAAACGCTCTGGCTTAGTTGCTACTGGCACCGGTTTCACTTTGAAGGGGAGTGTGCATCTGACTATACTAGAGGATTCTCTACACTCCTCCTCAGAAGTTTTTTCAATAGCACTGGATTTTTTTGTGGGCTCAGCACCTTCTTTATCTTCAGAAGACTTGCTTGCAGTGGAGAAAGAAGATGGAACCTCTTTCCCATTGGTAACTTCTCTTGAAGAGCACTTCAGGTTAAAGGAAAGGCGCTTTACAGCATTGCCAGCTCCACTGCTATACGGCTTAGGCCCAGCCAACAAATTGATCTTTTCTGCAGAAGGCACCTCAGAAAGAGTCTGGCGCTGTCCAGGCACAGGCTTCACTGGTATTGCTGGCTTAGGAAGAACACAAGGCTTGGGTTTCACAGGTGGCTTTGGACGGGCATCCCCTGAGAGAAGCATTTAATAGGAAATTAATTGTTAAAACACATAGCCATTAAATTGTAAGACTCCAATACAAAAATTCTTAGCCTAAATTAGTCTTACGAATGCCCTTTATGCTTAATTTCCCAATTATCAGGGGATATTATTGAATCTGTGCTCTGTGATGAGGAAAGGTTTAACAGTCCACTGTCTTCCTGGCAAACCTAGAGTAGCTTGCTTTGGAAAAGATTTAAGTCCTCTTATCCCTTTAGCAGTGGAAGCTTGTTCAGCGATTACAGAGAATTTATGATTAGGCAAGTGCAATCACATGCATGTATTTCAAGCATCATTGTTGTTCCTCTAATAAAAAGCTATAAGTCAGTGTTTCTCAACCTTGACAATTTTAAGGCATGCGGACTGCAACTCCCAGAATTCCACAGCCAGCAATGCTGGCTGTGGAATTCTGGGAGTTGAAGTCCGCATGCCTTAAAATTGTCAAGGTTGAGAAACACTGCTATAAGCAATGCTGTGCTGAGTGGCAGCAGAGGGGAGAGGGAAATAAAGTGGGCATAATTTGTTAACATTTTCCATGAAGACTGTATGCAACTTGGGACCCAGGTCACATTGGACAGCTTACCAAGCCTGCAAATCTCTGGTGACAAAGAAAAATACAGCACAGCCCATGAAAGACTCTGTGGGCTGCATTTTAAGGTGCAAGAGTCTCAGGTAAAAATCAATCCTTGATAGACTACCAAATTCATATAGTTAAAGCTCCTGGCAGATTATTGCATTTTAGACCAGCGATTCTCAATTTTTTTCCTTCAATATCCAAAACCATTTATCAGAAAGTCCTGTTACCCAACGTAGGGAAAACATTTTAAGTCAATTTAAATATCCTTGTTGTGACTGGAGATCAACACACAAACCCATTACCCAAAGAAAAATACATTTTTACCCATTTTAATGTTGGGTTTACCCAGGTAGAGGGAGCACTACTTTAGACTATAGGAGAAGCGAAAACTTGGAGTCCCAATCTGTGTCCTGAAAGAAGGAACAACAAAAAAAAATCTTCCTGAATCTACAACATAGAATGTCAGCAAAAAGTGTCCTTTAGTGTTCAATATTTCAGAAGTGGGAAGGAAAATTATGCATAAGAATTCATCAGAAAATGTCTTCCCATATGTGCAATCTGCAATACTACAGAAAGAGCCATTTCATATTAACATTCAGCACTTAATTCTTAGGAGAACCACTTTCTTATTAGCAACAGAAAACCTGGCCGATTGCCACGTGGTAAGGAACGCAGTTCTGCTGTCGTTTGGGATATACCTATCTCAGGGCTGCTTGATGGTGGTTTAGAGTCTTTACGGCCATTGGCGGCGGTAATGGAAAATGAAGAACACAGCGACTGAGGCTTAGAATCCATCACATCAGGCTGCGACTCAGAAGTCAGCAAAAAGGCCAGCCCCTAGGACAGGGACACACACACAAAAAGAAAGTTAGGCAATTTGCAAAATCCTCTCAAGAGATAACCAAGGTTTCTTATCTAATGGCACAGCACTGATATTGAATCATCAAAACAAAATTTCCTCAATACTTTTGCTTACGGTTTTAGCTTTAATACCAGGTACCATTCATTGTCTTTCTGAGAGGGAGGGAGGGAGGGAGGGAGGGAGAGATCATTTTAGGCCACTCCCAGGGCAGGCTGGAACAAGGATGGAGCACAGCTCTCACAGGCCATGACTCACACTGAAAGTAGAAAACCGTCAATGCATCAGATTTTAGGTTTCCTAACCTATGCTGCTGCCCTGTTCTGCACAGTACTTGCACCACCTTCGTCACACCCTCTCCTCCTCTGCCAACTTGCTATTCTCTCCATTTAACGCCAAATTTGCCTCTTCCACTCCTGTGCTTTCTTTTTCTCTTTCTTCCATTCTCTCTTTCTTTTTCTTTCCTTCTTTCCTTCCTTCCTTCTTTCTGTTGTCAGCTCTTGTCATTTCAGCACAGCACTCCCATTTGGCTGCTTTTCTAATCGGAGTCATTCTCTTCCTTCCAAGTTCCTTTCAGCTACCTCCCTCTCTCCCCAGTAATGGGAGAAATTCAGCTCAGCGCCATCCCCGCTGTATGTTCCCAACCAGACTGTGCAGGGCAAGAAGTAAACATCTGGAGTGCTTCCCCTCTCCTGATTTCTCAATCACTTGGCAGAGCCACTGGAATTCAATGAGGTAAAGCTGGGGCCTGCTCCCATCACTACAGCAACGACCTCCCACTAGATTTCAACAATGGGCCAAACTCTCTCTAAGAAGGGAAACAGCATTACGAAGTGTGTGTGTGTAGCAGAAACTGTTCCAATTGGCTATATTCGAAGCAGAAGTGGACCCAGAATGAGGCCAAAGAAGGGCTCGTAAGAGCTTCCCTTCAGTCAGAAAAAAAACTGTCACAATCGGCAAAGAGAGAAGAACAAGGTATCCCCGAAAGACTCTAAAGACACCTCCATTCTTAGTCTGCCTCTTGGGGACCAGCAGTAAGCAACTTTTTCCATGCCTGAATGAAGGAGACTGAAGAGCAGATTGACAGCTCTCCGCTTGCTGCTTAGCCCTTCATCTCACCCCTTTGTATCTGCAAGCCAACCTCTTTTACGGATAACACTGACTCAAGTTGAATCTTTGTATTATCCACACACAGGTAATCCTTGTTTAGCAACCAGAATTGGGATCAGAAACACAATCATCAAACGAAGCATTTGCTAAGTGAAACGACACAGCACCTACATTTTTACTTCAGCTTTCCTTGGCCTTACGAACGTGCAAAGACTGGTTATAAATGAGGATTATCTGTACTAATTTTTTTTCTACCCTTTTCTCTTTTCTTAATCTTAATTCCAATTATGCAAAGACTTGGCTCTTGAACTACCATCCAATACAGACTACTCAATCTGTTTTGATCCACAAAGGCACCCAGCAGTTATGATGGTTGTAGTTCCAATATATCTACAGAATCAGGTTGTAAAAAACATTTGTCAACCAGGGTAAAACTGAGAAACATTCCAAATATAAGGTAATGTAACGGCATTTTATCAAGCAGTCCAGTCCAATGCACACATAAGATTGATCTACATAAATGTTACCTGTCTCTGAAAAGTAATGTATTGGAGAAAGAGAGAAATGCATTCATGTTATTAGATGGCTTACTTTTCTCTCTGCACTGAAAATCCGTATAAAATAAGTATGAAGTAACCCTTCAAAGAGGAAGTACATACTTCGGGAAAATATGCACAATGAGTAAACAAAGAACCGGGACTCTGTTCGGCTGAGAATATCACATGATGAAAAGAATTTATGGAGTTTTTGAATAGGTAGAAATAGGTAGAAATTAGCACAGCAAAATTCTTTTCCTCAAGAGTTTTTCATGTTGCAAGAACCCTGCGGGTGGAGGTCAGGGGAAAAAGAGGCTTTCTTTCATATTCTTCCACATTTTGGCTTCAAAGCCTTTAAAACAAACCATTTTTTTCTATTACAACCTCTCAAATAGATGCAAAAACTAACCCTAAGTTTAACCCCCAATTTTTCTACACAGGTAGTCCTCAATGTGCAACCATTTGCTTAATGACCATTCAGAATTACAATGGCACTGAAAATGACCAGTTTTCACAGTTATGACGACTGCAGCATCCCTACAGTCACATGACCAAACTTTGCGTGCTGGACAACCAGCATGTATTTACAATGATTGCAGCATCCTGGGATCCTGGAATTGTCATTTGCAACCTTCTTAAGGAGCATCTGACAAGCAAGCAAAGTCAATAGAGGAAGCCAGATTTACTTAATGACCGCTTGATTCAGTCAACAACTTTAGCGATTCACTTAACAACCAAAGGTTGTAAAATGAGACACGACTCACTTAACAATTGTATTGCTTAGCAACAGAAATTTTGGGCTCAATTGTGATCTTAAGTTGAAGACTACCTGTAAGTACTTTCTCACAGAAAAAAAAAGGTGGGGGGAGGGCTTAAAATTAATTGTAATGCATCTTTAAAGAAAAATTTTAGGCAAGGAAATACATCGTATTATCCAAATGAGCCTTGGGCTACAGTGATGAAAAGCGGAAAATAAATGTATAGAATAACGAGTAAGCTGCAAGGATCAAAGAAAGGCTCAGTGTGCAAAGAAAAGAAGTTGCTTCTAAGGCAGAGTGATTATTGCTTTCTATAGAAATGTTCATTATACTTCCTTAGAATTTGGTGATGTAAGACAAAATTAGTTCCCTGTTTAGGGAACTAAAATAAGAGAGACAGTGATTTACCCAAGGAAGATAAATTAAGTAATAGCTAAGCACAAAGTTCAATTGAAACATCTAAATCATCTAGCGATTACATGACAAGCAATTGGAGAAAAAAGAGTTTCCTAGAACTTGAATCAGAATCAACACCTACTACAATTTGAGACACTGCAACTTTAAATTACACAAGAACCCCTCCCCCCTCCCATTGGGATTATATTAAGGATCTGATTGAGGAAATCCTGGGGAACAAGCAAATAGCAGAGAAAATATAGAAGGAAGAAACTTGAGACACAGAGACGCCAAAAATGTACATGTAAGAAGGCAGCAAGTGCAAAAACTGAGCCAAGAAACAGAAACGACAGAATGCCCAAAGGGCAGTGTTAAATATCTACATAAACTCCTGTTATAAAATATTCATACCTCTAAGATATTAAATAAAACATCTCCTACAGAAAAATCCAGAGAGGAAGTATCTTGTAGACTAGGGGTCTCCAACCCACCCACCCCACCCACCCCGGTCTGTAGACTGGTACCAGGCCGTGGCATGCCAGCAACTGGTCTGCACAAACAAGCAAAGCCCCATCCGTGGGATGCAGGCAGCACACAAAACCACACCCCCTCCGGTCTGTGGAAAAATCTTTCTCCATGAAACTGGTCCCTGGTGCCCAAAAGGTTGGGGACCTCTGTTGTAGACCTTCTCTACATTATTGGTGGATTAAGCATCCAGGACCATCAGTCCCGGTATAACCTGTGATCAATTAGTTCAAAACCAAATTGAAATAGAACTGTTTCATTTCTCTTGAGCAGAGATGGGGACATTTGGCCTGCAGGTAGTTTAGATGTCAATTCTCACTGTCCTAAATCAGCACAGGAAATGAGCATGGTAAAGTATGATAGTCCAACCATATCTACAAAGCTAAATTTCCTTTTTTCTTAACTAAGAGGACCACTGACACACACAGTTCTATAGAATGCTTCTTATACTATAACATAAAGTTATAGTATAAAGTCTACTTCTCTAACATAAAGTGTTGTTCTTTACTTGCTCCCAGGAATTTAAACAAGTTTCCCCAAATTATTGCATTCTAATTGTTTTTTTAAAAAATGATGATCAACAATAATTGAAATATCTATTATAATATAGAAATAAACCTATTGCAATAGATATTTCTTACAAGCTTGTACTGAACTAACCTAGTTGTTCCATTTGGTTTGAAAATGTAACTCACGATGTGTAAACTCTGCCTCTAACTATTTTAAGGAGTATCTCTGCACTGTGTTCTAAATGCAATCTATCCAGAATTTGAAATTCTAAAAAAGACAAAAAAATGGGTGAAATTAACAAACTCTATTCATTTCAGATACATTTATCTCCAAAACCACAACTAAAATTGGTATTTTTTCCACTGTACTTTTAAAAAATCCAAACTCCTCTATCAGTTATTTATATAAACATTCTTCAGGAGTAGATGGACATAGAGAAGTAAACATACTAAACATTTTCCCAACTACCATTTACATCTTCAGCAACTCTATGCTAAAAGGAAATAGATAAAAGTAGAAAACCTTTGCCAAAAAAAGGGTAACATTGAATTTTCCTTCCATAGAATATTAGCAGGCATGTGGGGGGCCTTATAGGGAAAGGGCTGAGTGGATTGGGATTCCCTCCATAGTAGTGATAGGTACTCCTGATGTGGAGAATAAGTGATGTTTTCTCAGCATAACCATCTCTTCCAAAAGTCTTCATTATGTGGGAACTCATCTTGTGCAATTAGTACTTGACCAGGTTACCAATTGTAGATCTCATCATCTAAAAGCATTCATGCTTTGGTCACATTTATCGTAAAGGAATGAGGGAACAAAGTTACCTCTTCATTAAAGGAAAGTAATAACAATGGTCCCCTCTCCTAGGGAGGTACATCTGGTGGGACTCAGAAGAAAGACCTTCTCTGTGGTGGCTCCCTCCCTTTGGAATATCATCCCCACGGAAATTAGACTGACTTCCACTTTGACACTCTTTCGCAAGGCTTTGAAAATCCAGTTTTGCCAATGGGCATGGGGAACTCAGAGTGAGATGGAATCCACCAAGTGGTTTGATTAATTGCTGTCACCAGGGGAGGGTATTATTTGTAAATTGGGTTTTTACTTTTTATAAGCAGCCCAGAGTCTCTGAGAGTAAATGGGCAGCCATATAAATTCTCTAAATTAAAAAATTGATAAAAAGAATAAGAGAAAGAAAAGTTATCACCATGTCTTTCAAGCGCCCCCAACATGCAATACAGTCTGAAATATAATATACATTCAAGTAAATCCCTTGCCATTTATGGATTCTTGTTTTATATATTATCCTATTTATAAAATGTTGGCAGAGGGCATTGATCTCTATTATATGTATGAAAGGTTTACATGTAAAAGCCTTCCTGAACTGGGGGAATTTCCAGATGTGAGTGTACCAACTCTGACTTTTCCATTGGGAATGACCTCTGATAAGAAATTTAGTGGGAATTGATGTCCATACACCTGGATGATGCCCACAGTTAGAGCAGACTGATCACAGTGCACACACGATTGTTATAAGAACAAGGATTAAAAGCTGTCATGGGATAGTTAACCAAGACGGGCCTCCTTAGGGAAAGGACAGCGGTGGAGAAGTAGAGAAGAATAAGTAAGTGCAGATGGACTTCAAAAAAACTTGCAAGAATAGGGGTTTTAGATGAAACCAGACTGGCTTAATAAAAAGCCAAGACTATTAGGCTTATTTTAACATTGCTTAATAAAAACACAAGCATAAATTTTATGTTAAAGACTGTTAGGTTTATTTCAACATTGCTTTTCATATAAGTCTTTTCCAAAGCAGTTTACATTCACCAAAAGGAAGAGAAAGGCCCTGCCCACTAGTTCACAACCCAAAAAGACACACACAAGAGACAGGGAGTGGAAAGGAAAGGAAGAGCAATATGCTGGCATTTATATGTAATTTAAACTGGGCTGATCTTGGCTTCCAGACATTCTCCCTTGCAAAGCAACATGTGCCTCTTGTTCCTTCAGCTGAAAGATGAGTCCAGAACCACCAAAGTGTTACCATAATTCCAGTCTCCAGATAACTGTCCTTAGAATCTGATGTTCCTTCTGGTTGGTGGAGAAACCAGTCTCTTGAGCCACTACCCCCTTGTTGTGGTTCCCCCCCCCTTTCCTGGGAAGGTACAGTTGGTGGCTCTTTTAGTTCAAACTGATTTCTGAGCAACAGATCCAAATAAAAACAGAGCAGATATAGGAGGTTATCGCAAGATTTTGAAAGCAAAGTAAAAAGGTATCAAAGGATACAATTCAGTTAAGCAGATAAGAACATGGTTTTAAAAACTGGAAGGTGTGTAGAAGATTTCTAGCAAGTGATTTACTCAAGGAGACAAAGAGAACAGATTATTCCTATCAGGGATGGAGCTGCATTGTAAACAACTGATTCCCCACAAAAGGCAAAAATAATGATGCCAAAATGTCATTTGAGGAATTATCCTAGACTGACTCAGACCATTCTTTTCCCAAGGCAAGCAGGGACTGGGGAAAAATGTGTTTCAAGAACAGGTCAGAGGGTGTATTTTAGGGTCACTGTCTGCACTAATTGCTATTCAGTAAGTTTTAAAAGGAGGGGTGTGTGTATCTGAACCTCAGCCAAGAGAGGGAGTGGTTGGAGAGAGGTAGTGTTGCAAAGTACTCCAGGCAGGCAAGAGGAAGAGGAGCAGGAGGAGGAAAGATTAAATATAGGAGGGATACCAGCTACAGGAAAACGAGGCACCACACGGTTCCAAACTTCGGCGAAAAACCAGGACAAGGAACAGCCGCCGGGAGTCCAGACGACACACAAAGTAGCGCAACCCCATACCATATGGCACTAACGTCACTGGCCTTCCGGCTGCAGCCAGGTCGCCATCCTTGCCCGTACTGTTAGCCGGTCAGGTCTTCAGACCAGGCCTTTTACAAACCCTCGCAGCAATTACGATCTTTAGAACAGATCGCCGCCGCTATGGCTCGACTGCTCGCAAGCGACCTCCCTCGTAACCGTCCCGTTCCGTCTCGTCCCGTTTCCAAGACCCCCCAACTCTTAACATCTGGGGGGTGGTCTCGGCCTCCCCCCTTTTCACATGCACTCACCGTACCTTCGGGCTCCTTCCCCTTTTCTTGACCCCCCCCTTATCCCCCGGCCTCGACCCTCCCCCTACCTCTCCCGCCCAGAGCCTCCGGCACCCCACTACCACTTTCTGCAAGCCGCAATTTCACCGCGCGGGATGCGAGAAGCCACGCGGCTCCCCACCTTTTCGGGGGGGGGGTCCGCGGACGTCTTCTTACCAGGTTCCGTGATCTGGGGCGCGACGGAGGCTCCGGCGATCCTCGCACTGTTTGCATATTCATGACGTTCCCAATCAAGGCCCAGGCTGGCCACGCCCGCTCTAATTCATATTCATAGCCGCGGAGACACCCAACCCCACGTGTCACAACGAGGAGGCCAGAGTAGTTAGGGAAAGGCCGGGCTAGCGACGGAATCTCAGCTTACGTTGGACGAGAACCCGTTGCCTGCCGCCTTATTAAGGAAAAAACTGGTCTACGAGAACGGCTGAAAGGTGGAGCTGTGCGGATGCGCCTCCCTTTTGTAACCTGAAGCATTTCTGCAAACGGGATCCCGCCCCATAAGCATGGATGCGAATGAGCCTGCGATTTGCATTTGAAGTATGCGCAATAAATATGCGATGTTCATTCTGGCTGGTTGCGTTCTCTTGTAGTTATGACTAATGAGCAAAACTTTGAAAGCAAGTCCCTGCCCGCGTAACCCACGCAGCTTTTCTTATTCGACAAGCACCAGTATTTATATATATCGACTGCGTAACTAATTTCCACTCTCCCCTACAACAGAGACTAACAAGCAGCATTCTAACAAGCACCCCACCCACTCTAGAAAGGAAGGCGGTCCCTTGTTCCTTAAAGCCCCGCCCAATACCGATGATCACAGCTCTGTGGGTGAGGCTGCTGTTTTCCGGGATCTGAGACGTAAAGGTTTCAGATTGGAGAACGTAATTAATAACAGCCTGCCCGGGCAACTATTTTGGGACAGGGACTGGCTGGGACGCCTCTCTTTCCTATTTTTTTTTTCTTTTAGGCTAAACCCCATAATCTCCAAAAGTAAAGTCCGCTGAACGGAGTATGAGTTACTTTTGAGAAAAGTGCGCTGTTAACATTAAGCCCCTTGGGTTTTAGTACTTTGCGTTGCATGAACCCAGCCTCTGTTAACTAATTTTAGTAGTAGCTTGCTGCGTGCCATCAGGTTGGTGTGGACTCAGTAGCCAGATTCTGGTATGATATGTCCACTATCTGGCCCTACAGGTCTACCAATAGTAGATCCACTGAAGGAGAATATTTGTAGCTCAGTGTTGAAATGAGGGGTCCTTGGTGCTCCCTCAGCTTTTTTGTTTTCTTGTAGATGTTTCATTACCCAAATTAGATAACAACATCAATGCTAGTAATGAGTGCTGTTTGCTGTCAGTTTATATTCTGGTGACAAGCCTGTCTGTGTGGATGGAGGTGGTCTTAGGGATTCTTTGGTTGGGCTGATCCATATAGTAGATCCAATAGTAGATCCATCAGTCGTGCACAGTAACTGCTAGTACCCGAGGATTATAGCTAGGTCTTCACATAGTGTGTCCAAAGTATGATAACTTGAGCCTGATCATTTATGCCTTGAGTGAGAGTTTTGAATAGATTTGTTCTATAAATCATTTGTTTATTTTCATAGCTTGCCATGCTATGCAAGCCCAAAGTTCTGCAGCCCCAAAGTTCAAAAACATGAATACTCTTTCTGTCCCGCAGCTTGTTCAAAATCCAACCATTGCTAGCCTGATTCTGATCTTTATATAGACACCCCCGGGCATCTGAGTAGGTTGCCCAAGGCTTTTCTTGCTACTCTTCCAAGTGTTAGTCTGAGGCATATTGGTGCCCTCTTTGGAGTCTCTAGCAGTAAAACATCTGATGAAGACATCACTTTATTCACCCCAACAGGTGTCATTTCCTGTCCTTTAGGGTTGAGGGAAGTTAGCCCAGAGAAGGAAATATTAAAAGGGCAGAAAAATATATTTTTTCTTCGAAAGGACTTTTTTAAAACCAAACCTAGCCCCAAATCTATGTCTCTGCCCCAGGCAAGACTTTAGCCCCATACAAATGCAGATGTAAAATCATCAGAGAATTGAAGCCAGAGCAATCAAGAAGACAAAGAAAATCTGCATGCCCCACCCAAACTCTAGGAGTCATTAGCCCCATCACCTGGGAAGCAGGATATGATAATAGGATTAAATCACAGATATCAAGGCCTAGACAAACACTCAGAAACAGCCTCAAGGTTCATGCCACAGGAACAGGAAACTATTCCAAACAAGGCTAGAGAGGGTATAAAAAACCTACTGCCCATGTGCTCAATCTCTTTCCTCTCTGCTCCTTGCCAGGACCATCTTTCTGCTTCTTCAATAAACTGTAACCTTCTTTCCAAAGCAGTTGCCATGTTGCTTATTCATCCCAGCTTGGATGAACCAGGATGAAGACTTACTTCTGACAGGGTGGTAGCCCTGCCTTTTTCATCTTGTCTATTTTGCCTTTCTTTCGGAAGAAAGATCTTGGCTAATTCTCCCTCATTTGCATCTCTGAAGCATGGGGGGAGGGGGGTTGCCCACTTGGGTCAAAATGCCCTCATATGTGATCTCCTTTTTTCTCTACCCTAGAAATTAGAGGCTTCGGAGAATGTCACTGTTTCTGCTAGGTTGGTGGTGGCAAACCTATGGCACGCATGCCAGAGGTGGCACTCGGAGTCCTCTCTGTGGGCATGTACGCCATTGCCCCAGCCCCGCCTCACCCCGCAGCCCCCTCCTCACCAGCAGTCCTCCCCGGAGGAGAGTCTCCCCCGGGCACAGCAGGCACAGAGCAAAGCAGCCAAGGACATGGCAGCTGGGCAGCAGGGACAAGACTCCGCCCTTGTGCTCCATCACATGCAGATGATGCTGCGGGGTGTGGGCGGAGGGTGTGGCTGCCGTGGCACTGAAAGGCCGCCTGGGCGATCTGCTGCGGGCCATGGAGGCAGTGAGTGGCCCTGCAGGCGGGCGCAGGTGGGCTGGGGGCCGGGGTGGTTTTGGGGCACTCGATCTCTAAAAGTTTCACCATCACTGCACTAGGTATTCCTGCTCATGTATTTTGGATATTATAATCTTGATTATTGATTTTATTGTCTCAGTACAATAAAACACAATGGCAGAGACATCTGAACAAAAGAATCTAGAACATCATCACCATTTTTAAAGTCATGTATATTGCAGATTTTAATTATCAGAGTAAAAGCAAATGCAAACTAAACTCAGTGAGAAGGAGAAATAGAATAAAAAGTGCAAAGAAAGAAAAAGAAAAAGAACATAAAAAAGGAAAGAAAAGCAATATATAAAGAAGTGACTTCCGAGCCTCATCGCAAGAAGTATAAACAAATTGAATGTGGTGGAATATAGTCTGGATTCCCAGGAGGGAGGGAGCGACTGCATTCCAGAGGGCCAAATACAGTAAAGCTTAGATAATTTGGTTGAGATTTAAAAGGCTCTTCTCTAGTAATTCTCAAAGTATATCTTTAATTATGCAAGTAGTTGCTTTATCTTGGCAAGATTTCTGTATATAGATGAAGAATAATAAAAGTAATTGCTCAGAAGTAATTATACATATCTTTCTTGGTTCTTGAGGACTGACATTTGATACCTCTTCACTACCTATAAGGTTTCAAACAAACATCTTTTCTTCCCACAATCTATCACTTTTCTATATGCAAATCCATAAATCATCAACATTTTAGTCCCAAAATCAGCAAAAACTCCATATGTTTTATTAGAACTTCACAGAAACATGTCTTATATTAATCCTGGTCAAACAAACCAAGTGTATATTCCTTCTTTGTACTTCTAACAATCTTTAATTCATTCAGATGTTATCATAGGATTTGATTTCTCTATTTTGTTTTCTTTCTATCTTTGAGACTTTAGTAAATCTCTTTTGCAAATTCAATGAAAAATCATTGTCTAGATCAGGGGTATCAAACTTGCCGTGTCACATGACATGTTGTGACATCACAATTTTTTTCCCCTTGCCGGAGCTGGGGTGGGTGCGGCTTCTGCATGATGCATCCGGCCCATGGGCTAGGAGTTTGACACCCCTGGTCTAGAATCATTTTCTTGGTGTATGGCCTGCTCAATTCAGAGATTTGCCTCTTGGTCTGAGGAGATGCTTGCATTCTTAAAGAGCCCATTCTTTCAGTCAGATACACAGTAGAGCCAATAGTCTTTGTATGGTAAGCTTTCTTTAATTTGACCTAAACCACTGTCTCCATTCTCTCATACAAACACATTGCTACTTACATATTCAGAGTTATGCAGATAGGCTTTCCCATTTTTGCTTTATCAGGCTTGTTGCTTCTTATCTGCAGAGATGTTTTGCATTTCCAGGACTTGCCATAATTCAAGAGTTTCCAAACACATTACACAATAAACCTACTCTTCCCAAATCTAACCTATGAAGATAAAAAGGTCTGGGATGTGTTGTCTTTTGGAATCTGTTTCTTTGCCCCTTGCAGGATAGGATAGGATAGGATAGGATAGGATAGGATAGGATAGGATAGGATAGGGCAGGGCAGGGCAGGGCAGGGCAGGGCAACCCATCAAACTAAAACCATCTTAGCTATCTGTCTTGCTTCTCTATACTTACTCTGCCTATCCAGGGATACTTGTACTCTCTTCTGTAATTCTTTACTCTGGATTATTCAGCTGCTTGCAGCTTGGAAGTTAATATGGGCCTGTAACATTCTGAGAGATTTTGAATTGGAAGCCATTGTTAGAGAAGTGCTCCTGAACCCAAGCAGAGTAGTAAAAGAATACAGAGCAATTAAGCAGCAGAACTTCCATAAAAAGAATAAAGTCAGTTCATATATGGCTGTCTTGGATTTGAGTCCATCACTGGATGCTAATAAATGTTCATTATCTTTGTAGTAAAATGATAGAAAAGCCTTACTTCTATCTCAGCTATACCTTGAAGAAGAAGAAGCACAAATCCTTTGGTTTTTTTTTAAACACAAGAGATTCATTTCACTAACAATAGGTGAGTAAGAAGCATAGGGACAAAAATAATAATAAAAATTGCAGTGTTTGACATGGGCTGATAATAATAGATAAGGGTCTCAGAGTATCCTCCACTGCAAAATAATAGTTATTTCCCTGAGATTATGAACTATAATCTGCCACACCAGTTCAAGGCAGGTTGGTGGGTAGATGTTTCTGGATTTCCTAGTCTACGGCTGAGAGGCAGTGCCTGGCTTAAAGACACCAAGTTGGTTTCTATGCCTCAGGGAAGATTAGAAGCTGGGTCTTCATGATCCAAGGCTATCATTTTCATCACTACACCACAGTTGCTCTCTCCCCTTATTTTGCTGCTTACTTCAGTTGACAAAACAGCTCATAGAAGCAAAAGATGAAGCAGTCTCCAACACCTACTCTATGGTGTTATATTGTTCTAGGGTTAAAACATTAATTATTCATATCTTCAGGACAGTGCTATAGAAACAGGTGGGGAAATGTCTTATTTAGTTCAGTTATATGCTTATTTCTAGCTATGTTTGTGTACAATCACAGCCCTAATTGTTGTGTTGGGAAAGTAATACATTCCATCGTTCTCCCACATTGCACATGCTGGCAAGTGCTACTCTCAGTAGTACAACAGCTGCTGAACCAAATTACCTTCCCTGATATATATATATATATATATATATATATATATATATATATATATATGTTTTCTGAGGTTTTCGCGGGTATTTGTATATAGGTCTTTGGT